CAATTTTATTGGAAATGCAAACTATTGATCAGGAAACACCCCTCAATCTGTAGACTTCCTGCAGGAATATTATTTACTCTGCTTTTATGAGGTGCGTTAAAAAAAACTTTTTAAAAGCCTTATCACATCACAGGGCAAAAACCAAAATAGCTAAGGACCACGAAAAATAAATCCCCAAATGGCAGTTTCTGCCTGAGTTTCTATTTACAAGGGTGTCCAGGTTAAAACCAATGACATCTGAAAAGAACTAGACTGAACTGCCTAAATTGTCCCCCCAATGCAAAAAAAAAAAAAAAAAAAAAGTGGGGTGGGGTGGGAGGGAAAAAGTCCTTATAATCAAGACAGAAGAGGTGAGAGAGACATTTTCCTTTGCCCCTGGAATTAGGTTTCTTCTCCGCTCAGTAGGACTCCGGGAGAGATGTTTGTTCAGGTTATTAAAACAACACCTTCCACACACCTGGACTTTGCAAAAACCATGTTTCCGATCTTTTCTTTTTCCTGCCAAAGTATTTTGGATTGGAGGCTGCTGATTTCTTCCTTTCTTGACCTTGCTGTCAGTGAGCTGAAAGCCTAATCGGGCCCCAGAGGGCCCCGTGCATCACTAGAATAATAAGCGACGATAACGGCAGAAGATACCGAAGTCAATCCCCCGCCACCCGGCATGGAGCCCTAGTCTGGACGCCTCGGGCTCCTGCACCTGGAGGCAGCTGGGGCGGCCCCGTGGTGTCGGCGCCACCTTGAGGCCTACTAGGGAACTACCCTTAAAATAGTTGGGAGGAGGTGTGTGGGGGTGGGGGAGGAGTCAACCGTTTTGGTTACAATGGAGGTGCTGACACCTTATGGAAGCACCTTAGCATTGCATAGCAGGAATAAAGTAGAGAGAGGCTAAATAAACTGTGCCGAGCGTGGATCAAGAAAAAACAAAACATTTTCCATAGTTTTGCAATGTGTCAAGAACATGATGTGTTGGAAAACAGAAATGTCTTTGAAACTGCTTGGGGAGCAAGAAATCCTCTCTAGGGAGACTTGCTGAGGTTTTAAGCAAATAAAACCTGCTCCTCTTAGGTGTCTACAAGTCTGGCAATATTTTTTCCAGGGCTGTTAACAAATTGCTCTCCTCCGTGTCTCCCCGCGGCAGCTGTCTTTCTGCCCCATGTGTAGCGTGAGTTTCAGGGAATTCATCAAAAATGTTTTTGCTGCATGTGTGTGCCTGACATTGGCAGTAACAACCCATAACCGTAACCAAAGTTAAAAGAGACTTAAACATCTCTGCAACCACTTCTGCTTTTGAGGCACAACAGAGAACTCAAAGATTGGACAAATGAAAGGAGTTTTGTGTCTCTTCTCACTATTTTCAGTACATTTTTCTCTTGGGCTCTCGAGGTTTTAGGGAAAGGGTCCAGAAATGAGAGCAGTCTCAGGCTTCCAAAAGCTACCTGGGATCTGATGAACCCTTGGGTTCATCACAGTCAATGCTGTTTCTTAAAAATCCACTGCAGTCCAGCACCTAGAAATGTTTTCCAGGGCAAAAAGTGGGTCATTGCTAGAAATTTTTCCAAACCACCGTTCATAAAAGGTAGCACCATGAACAACAAAATAACAGGGGTAAAGACTATTCTTCACTAAAATATTAAAGAAACTTGACAACTGAGTGCAGTACTTAATCCTAGATGGAGGAAATTTTAAAAAACACTAATACAGGATAGGTTTGAGAATACCTGGAGAAATTTTAATCTGGCGTCATGTTCAGTAGTAGTCTTATATCAAGGTTAAAATTCTTGAGTGTGATAATTATATGTGATCAAGTAAGAGCATGTCTTGTTTTTAAAAGATGCATGTCAAAATATTTAGAGCTGACATTAATCATCTCTGCAACTTTTAAAAGATTGAACTAAGAGGGAGGGTGTGTATAGAGAGGAGACGGAAAGAGAAATTTATCTAAAATGAGGCCAATTGCTGAACCTATGGTATGTGGGTATTCATTGTTTATTGATTTTGCAATTTTTCTCTAACTTTGAAAATTCCCAAAATTAAAAACAAATGGGAGGAAACCACCTTTTTAATTTTGGAAATTAAAAAGGGATGTGATACAGAGCAAACATCTTTCCATGGAAGGAAATTAGGGTTTCCATATTGCAAACACTACTGTGGGGGCCCAACTGGCCCCAGTGTCTCCTCTCCTTGTGTTCTCCAAGTTTCTGAAAAACAATCTTGAACAATCATGGATTTTATCACATTAACTTGTGGTTGTTCTGTTTGTTTGTTTTTTAAAGCTGACTGTCTAAGGAGCCTTGTTGTTGTTGTTCAGTCACTAAGTGTGTCTGACTTTTTGGCAGCCTATGGACTGTATAGCACACCACGCTTCGCTGTCCTCCACTATCTCCCGGAGTTTGCTCAAATTCATGTCCATTGAGTCAGTGAGGCTTTCTAACTGTCTCATCCTCTGCCGCCCCCTTCTCCTTTTGCCTTCAATCTTTCCCAGCATCAGGGTCTTTTCCAATGAGTTGGATCTTTCCATCAGGTGACCAAAGTATTGGAGCATCAGCTCAGCTTCAGCATCAGTCATTCCAATGAATATTCAGGGTCGATTACCTTTAGGATCCACTGATTTGACCTCAAAATTATAGTCATGTCCAACTCTTTTCAACCCCATAGACTGCAACCCACCAGGCTCCTCAAGCCATGAAATTCTCCAGGCAAGAATACTGGAGTGGGTTGCCATTACCTTCTCCAAGGGATCTTCCCGGTCCAGGGATCGAATCTGGATCTCCTGCATTGAAGCCAGCTTCTTTAGCATCTGAGTCACCAGGGGAACCCCTAAGGAGCTTGTCTATCTTTATAATTCAAGAACTGCCCCAATTAGCACAATCAAAATTGGAGAAATCTAATAGAGTACTGTAGATGTTTCCAAAACAGAGTACTAAAGATACACATATGTTCTTCTTCTTCTTGTTCCGTCACTCAGTCATGTCTGACTCTTTGTGACCCCACGGACTGCAGCATACCGGGCTTCCCTGTCCTTCACTATCTCCCAGTTTGCTCAGAGTCATGTCTATTGAGTCGGTGATGCCATCCAACCACCGTGTCCTCTATCATCTCCTTCTCCTCCTGCCTTCAATCTTGCCAAGCACCAGGGTTTCTTCTTAAAGAGAGCTAAATGCATGCCAGTCCTTTATAGTTGGCCTTTTCCTTGTTGCTGTATAGCTGGTTTGCTTACACAGTGTATCAGTCAGTTGAGGCTGGTATATGCTGCAGCGATAACCCCAGTCTCACTGACTTCATTTTCTTGAGCCAACAGCAGGGTGTCACTCAAGAGCCTGGGTTTTCAAAGGCTGCCTCTCCTGTCACCTCGGCAGGGGCAAGAGAGGGAGATTCTGCCCTGGGAATTAACTGTCCAAGTGACACGTCTCTTCCATTTGCAACTCACTGAGCTGACCACACGGCCCCAACACACCCCAGGGACGGGAAGTTTCCGTCTTCCCTGGGCCCAGGCAGATGATGAGCTGACTTTTGTTTAGCAACCTCATGTCTGCTACACAAGTCCTACCTCTCCAGGCAGTGGCAACTCTGTCTTGTTTCTCTGCAGCCCTAGTGCCTTGTAGGGTACCTTGGAGCAGGCGGACAGGAAGTGTTTATTGTATGAATGTATGACTTTTCCAAGACTTTTCTCCCTGATAAATAAAGAGAAAATATAATGCATGCCCACTATGTACCAAGATGTTCTGCCTGTGACATCTCATTTAATCCTCTTTCGGGGTAGGTACTGTTAATATCACCATTTTAAAGGTGAGGAAACTTAGGTCTAGAAATTTTAAGTAACCCTAAATTTTCAGCTACAAGTGAGGGAATTGGGATCTCTTAACTCATTACTTTGTTGCCTCTTTAAGATTGGGGTTAGTGTCTTGGAAATTAGAGACAACTTAAAAAGTTAAAATACAAACGTCTATGTAAATAGTCTATGTGGAAACATACATTTATATAATTTCATGACTATATATATATACACAGTCAAGAGTGTATTCGTGAAGGCATGACTTCTGAACACATGACTCAATGTCTATGACATTTTAGTTTTTTATACCACCAACTTACAAGCCTGTAATTAACCCTGTGGGGTAAAAGGATTCATTATCAGAGCCCAGAAAAAGCAGACTGCTCCCTGGGAGGTGCAGACAGGGCTTTGATTGTTGGACAGGGCAGGGAAAGAAAGAGGTGAGGAAGCTGTTTTTCACTGAGTCTGCAGACTGTGGGTTGGGTATTCTGAGCTCCAGGAAATACATCAGGCTTAGAATCACCATACTCCCTCAGAGTGACCACTGGGTCTCACGGTGACCATAAGAGAGGAAGATCCTAGGGGCCTACAAAGGATAAACGAAGCAGAGTGACTCACTCCCCAGGGGGAAGGGAATCTAGCTTCTCAGGAGCCAGCTTCTGTTTTTATTAGAATTATTTATAATTCTATTTATTTACTTTTTAGCACTTCAGGAGGTGTTTGTGTGAAGATGATGCGGAGAGAAGAGAGGGAGCAGAGAACAGACCGTGCCATTTAACATCTGTAGAGTCTCACAAGAGAGGAATTGAGTCATGGAGGAGCAATCCCGGTCGGCTTCCCGGAGTAGGGGGCCTCTGGGGACTGAAGTGGAGGTGGGTGTGTTTGAACTGGCAGTGGGCTCGGACTGGCTACGGGCTACGGGTTCACTCGGTAGCCCCCTCTTCTGCCCACCCAGCTCCTGGCAAATGCCCGTCAGATCTAGCACTCAGTGCCGGCCTAACTGAGAATAAACCTTCATGGGCCACACGCACCGCCCTCTTCCCGGCGCGCGGAGTCGCACGCGCATGCGTGCAGCGGGGCGTTCCCACCAGGCCTCTGCGGCGAGGCCACCGAGCCCCTAACCCACCCCGGTCCAGACCAGTGCGCAGGCGCGGGAAGTGCGCGCACCGGTGACGTCACTTCGTGCGGGACTCCGCCGTGGGAGGCGTCGCGCACTGACAGCGTCGCCATGGAGCCGAGGGCGGGTGAGGGGCCGCACCGGGCACCACCTGAGAAACGCGCGGGGGACACGGAGGGTCCTCATGAGAGTCGGGCAGGGGACGCTGAAGGCTACCTGAGAGACGGGCCAGGGAAGGCTGAGGGGCCACCTTAGTGTTGGGCGGGGGACGCGGAGGGGCCGCCTGAGAGACCGACCGGGAGTCGCGGAGGGGCCGCCTGAGAGACTGACCGGGGGTCGCGGAGGGGCCGCCTGAGAGACGGACCGGGGGTCACGGAGGGGCCACGTGAGGGACGGGCAAGGGGTCGCGGAGGAGTCCCCGGGGATTGGGCAGAGAAACCGCCAGAGACAGAAGGGGGGACATGGACGGGCGGGGTCTCCGAGGGTTCTGAGCGGGGTTGGTACGCTGTCGGTGGAGTAGGTAGAAGAAGTGGGACTGCCTTCTGGGTAGGTGGTGGTGTCCGTTTCCGGACCCCTTTACCCCCCCCCCCCCCACCGTGAGAGCTGCCTCCTGTGTCGTCTGCCACAGGCCCTGAGGAGGCTCGCCCCCAGAGCCCCTGAGCTTCGGTGATTGATTGCAGCATTGCCTGGCAAAGATGGTACTGAGGCTCTCGCTGCCCCACGGTCTATTAAAGCCGAGTTCGAGAAATGTGAATAAATCCCCTCCTCCGTTACTGCCCGGGCAGCATGGAAACAGCACAGGAAACAGGTGCTGGTAGCGCAGTGGAATGGTAACAAAGACCTTTGGAGACGCCTGCCAAGTGCCAGGACTGCGCTCCGGGCTAGAGGTAGAAGGAGGAGGGAGACCCAGGCTGACCTGACGGGCAGTAACAGGGTACAGAACAGGGTTCATGCATTTCTCACATTAATATATGTCACCTTTTATTACCCTAATTATTCCCCATGTTTTGGTACCTTTCCAAGGGCAGGGACCTGCCCTTTTATTCTCTCCCTCCCCTTGCAATCAGCCCACTGCTTTCTAAATGGGAGTCACTCAGATGTGATGATTAATTGGCTCTGGAGCAAGGGCCACAATTCCTACAATTCCTGGGTCCCACAAAGCGTCCTGCACAGTGCTAGGGGATATTGTTGGACCTCTGAGTTGTTAGTGAAAGTAATGTCATAGCTTTTAAAAAAAAATGTATATTTATTTGGCTGTGCTGGGTCTTCGTTGTTTGCAGGGGTTTTTCTCTAGTTGTGGCAAGTAGGGGCTACTCTCTAGATGTAGGACACAGGCTTCTTTTTAAGGCTGCTTTCCTTGTAGCACAGAGGCTGCAGAACGTTCAGGCTTCAGTAGTGGTGGCTCCCCCGCTCTAGAGCACAGACTCAATAGTTGTGGCTCCTGGACTTAGTTGTCTCTCGGCATGTGGGATCTTCATGGACCGGGAATCAAACCTGTGTCTCCTGCTTTGGCAGGCAGATTCTTTACCAGTGCGCCACCAAGGAATTTGTTTTAATGGTTTCTGTTTTGAAAAAAAAAAAAAAAAAAACAGTGAGGGTGTTTGGGGTTCCTCAAGAATCAACAGTCCCAAAGGAGGAATGTCTGTCTCAGCTAGCCCTGATGGGAGAGGAGGGGTGAACCGGAGAAGGGAGGAGAGGAGGTACAAAGACCCGAAAAAGACAGGGGTACAGAGTGTGTGGGGCCAGGGACCAACATTGGGCCACTTTTAAAATTCATGGTGGGGGGTGACAGGAGATGAGGCTGAAGTGGACAGCAACACTTTGCAGCTCATTCCACACTCTGTGTCCAGGGATCCTCGGAGCACTGGAGCAGCATGGGGGGAGACTTCCTGGAGGGGGTGCTGAAGCTGGGCCTTGAAGAGTCAGGGTTTGACTGACAGACAGGGAGTAGAACAGACTTCCAGCAGAGACCAGAAAATGCAGAACTCCCAGCAGGAAAGAAACAAGCCAAGTCCTGGAAGCTGCCTGCATGGCCTTAACCAGGCCATGCACTATAGTCCTGCATCCTCGGAGATGCTTGTTCCCTAAATACACGTGAATCTGCAGTCTTGATTTCTGCCATGGTTCAGAAGCACAGCTAGGGTCAAGAAGCACCAAAGTGTTTGCAGTGGGCTCCAGAACGCTCTGGGGTCTACCTGTGAAGGGCCTGGTATGAGTGGTATTCCTAGGGGATCTGTGTCTAGCCTGAGGGCATAAGCACTGGAAACCTTTGGCTCTGGCCTTTAACATGGTAAACTACATGTAAAAGTTTAACAAATCATTATAAAATTGGTGCAGTCTGTAAAGGTTTACGTCAGTAGCAAGGTTGGAAACCCTCCTGCCATTAGTCAAGGACTGCTTGAGTAAAATTTGACCTGCCTGAATCGTGGAATACTATGCAACTGCAGAAAAGTATGAGTGTACTTTTTATATACCATATGGGCCAATCCGCAGGAGATAAGTAAACAGCAACAGAACTCAAAGCAGTATCTGTAGCTGCTTGTCTTGGGCACCCTTTTAGGGAAAGAGGATGAGAAGCCTGAGATCCCTGGGGAAGAATTCATCAGAACAAACGGATACAACTGACTATCTGAGGGGAAGGGACGGGACCTGGTACTCAGTAAACAGTGAGGCTCTTCATTATATAGATGCCTTTGTGTGTTTTAAAACTACATTTACAAAAAAGTTATAATTCATTCACAAGATTTAAAGTCACATAATTCATAAATGTTTATGGTGAGAAGCCAGCCACCAGTCACATCTCACTGCCCAGGTTGGTGGCTCCAGGTCTCTGCTGTGGAACTGCTGCCCTGTGTCACTTTTGAGCAGCCTTTACTCACTCAGGGGAGACTGAGGACCTGAGAGGGTGAAGCTGACCCTCTTTCCCGCCCAGGTGTTGAGAGGTGCCATGTCACAGCAGAGTGATTTGGCACAAACTTCTGCATAGGTGCAAGGATAGCCTTTTGGACTGAGAAAAACAAAACTCCATATAAATGCATTTATATGAATGTGCCACTTTTTTCCCCACTCGACTGGAAACTGCTTTTTGTAGTTCTCTATTTCAAGAGGAGCACGTGGTTAACGTAGGGTTTCTAAGGGCTTTCCCTAATCAAATAATGAAGGAATATTTGTTGCCTGAAAATTCATTTCCAAAGTGAGATCTAGAATAAAGAGTCTTTCAATAAAGTGGATTGTAGTAGGTAATCCAAAGTAGCAGCTGGCTTACACATCACTCAGGCAAGCGAACAGGCCTCGCAGAAAGGGAGAAGTAATCATAGCTGTCTCAAGACTGACAGACTGAGAGTGAGATCACAGAGCCTTGACTGAGCAGAACTCGTGTCTCCAAGAAAGGACTTAGGAATGCTTGGGTCCGTGGCTTGAGTGGTGTTTGTGCTGCCCCTACAGGTTCATAGAATAGGCTTCATTAAGCACTTGGGTTATGTTAAGTGTAAACTGTGTTTGGACTATAACAATTTCTTGAGTTGTAGGACGTCACCAATCTTGGTTTTTCGACGTAGGGGTTAGGAGCCCTAGATTCTGTCTGGCATGGCAGAGCTGAGGGTGTAGTGGGAGCAGGCAGGCTCTGGGCCCTGAGACTGCTGCGCTGTGGGGTTCCTGTCCGTGTGTTTATCAGTCGCACCCTTTATTGCCATAGGTGTTTCCAAACAGGACATTCGTGAGCAGATTTGGGACTACATGGAGTCAAAAAATTTAGCTGATTTTCCCCGGCCTGTTCATCACAGGATTCCCAACTTCAAGGTACTGAAGCATTCCTGGAGCATTCACAAGGAAATTGGGATATTCCTGAATGAGTAACAGTAGTAAGACAGTTACCACCCCGCTTCATGGTGAATTTGAAGTCGGTGAACAGTGAGTGGTGTGAAATCTGAACCAGCTGGCCAGGATGTCTCTATGCTTAGAGATGTCCTTCATCATGTTATTAATACTTAACACTTCCTCTCAAGCGCCTCTTGCCTTTCTGTGCAGGATTGGTGTTTGGGTTGCATCTTGCCCTGAGGTGGTACTGAGGCTACTGCTTCCCATTTGCTACAGAGTGGAATATTTCTCCAGGCTGGAAGCCTTCGATCCTTGTGGTGCCTTTTCACACAGCTGGCTCCTAAGGGCCAACGTACTCTGAGAGGGAGACCCAGCCAGTGGGGCTGGCTTCTAAGACCTTTGTATCCTGGCTGCCCCCTTAGACATTTCTCGGGTGACCCCAGACCTGGTCTCAGAACTGGTCCCCGCGCCTGTGAGGGGGTGGTGCTGGAGCGTCAGGCTGCAGGTGGCTCAGGGTAGTGGCCTCTTGGTAACCTGCACTTGCATTTAAAAACAGGGTGCTTCTCGGGCCGCCGAGCATTTCCCAGGTTTGCAGGCGTTCAAAATGGCCAGAACCATTAAAGTCAACCCTGACGCTCCCCAGAAAAACGCCCGTTTCTTCGTCCTTGAAGTAAGTGCACCTCTGTCTTTGTACCTAACCAGGGCTCTTATCTGGCTTGCCAAAACATCAGAGACCTTGAGGTTTTTGCCAGAACGCAGGAACTTAAAGTGGACCCTGATAAACCACTGGAAGGCGTCCGGTTGCTGGCACTGCAGGTAATCCCATTTCGTGAGCCAGAGCCCTGGCTGCTGGCCGGCCTGCCCTCTTCAGGTGGCTGTCGAGTGGGCACCATCCTGCATTTGGAGGGAGGGTTCTGACTCCCTCCATGCAGAATGTGTCTGTGGAGTTGTTTTTCCCAGGACATTCAGAACTTTTTCATTGTCAGTCAGTCAGAAGTCCCGAACATGTCTGAATTCAAAGAGAAAAGGCATTGATGTACCTCTCCAGAAGAGAACAATTGCAATATGTATATTTCTTCTACTACATTTGTGATACTATAATTCTTTGAAACTTGATACTATAATTCTTTGAAACGAGTTAAAAATCTGATAAGTGAGTCCCCCAAACACATGAATTAGAACAGTGTTTCTTAACTTAGATATAATAGGCCCCTTTTCAAGAAGAAAAATTCTCCCCAGGGTTGCCTTGATTTATAATTTCATTTAATAGCATAAATATAAAACTTGGAATAAATTTTAATTTCGTACCTCCAGTGTGATTATAAAATCAAAATACACATGCAAATATAAACAAAACTATAAAAGCAGTAACATTCAGGTGACAGCCTTTATTTCATGTAATGGTTGATGTTGGGGCAGTGTGGGGTCTGTGGGATCCTGCCGTATGCTGCTGTGCTTCAGGGGCTTCAAGACATCTTGAAGCTCAGTTTCCCTGAGAAGCCTTGCTCTGCAGGCACCTTCCGTCCTTGGTGGGGGGGGTGCATACTCGATCAGGCTAGGATGGTGATGCACATGGCCGCAGAGCATGCCTGGGGGCACAGCTTCCCAGGTTCAACCCCAGATCCTCATCTGGTGCTATTACTAGAAATTGGTCATAGTAAACTCACTGGTGAAGCTATGAGATCTCCAGGTCTGAGCTTCCTATCTGTAAGTTAGCACCTGCCGGGGAGCTTTGAAAGACTGTTGCTGATGTCCAGTTCTGAGTCAGGCTTAAGTGGACCTGGACTTTGGTGAGCCTCAGAGCTCCCCAAGGACCTCTAGTTTACAACCAGTGGGTTAGCAGAGTATCAGGCAGTACACCAGAGTCTGGAGACTACAGACAAAGTCACCCACCTCTCTCGTTACTTCTGTTGAAATACTCTTCTTGGGGTTGAAAACTGTTAGAAAGCCAAACTCTAATTTTATGGGACTTTTATTGGTCTGAGACTGTCATCTCCTGCTCAAAAAGTAAAATATGCTATTTTTTACATAAAAGAGCTTATAAATTTTATAATTGTCTCATGGCCTACCCCTGTATAATCTGCAGCAGTGTCCTTGGCCGTGGTTCTCAAACTTACCCTGTGCATCAGGAGTACTGGGTAGGCTTATTACACCAGGCTGCTGGGCCCCACCCCAGAGCTTCTGATCATGTCAAACAGTGCCCAGGGGCCGTCACTCTGAAAACCTCTGTTCTAGGTCTTGCAATAAACATTTGAGAATTAAATAGGAGAAAACGGTTATTGACACAAGTCAGTATAAAATATTGATTGTAATGAGTACTGATCTCTCAGACTGATTTACTGAGCAGCAAACTAGATATAAGTGCTTGATGGGGTAATGTCTTAATGTGGCTTCAAAATAAAACATTGTCCCTGGATAGGGCTTAATGCCAGGAGCGTAAGGCACAGCAAGGTATGGTTGGAATTTTCTTCAGGACAGACTTCTTTGGGATTTGCATCATCATTTTCACTCGGAACAATTTTGAATGGCAAGTAGAATAGAATCAGCCAGTTTTACAAACCCTCACCCCTTTTTTCTGAGTCAGGGTAGTATAACTGCTCTTAAGTAAAATCGTGCCCAAGTATTATTCAGTTGAGTTTGCAAAGCAGCTCATCTTCTTGACACATACCCCAAAATACAGGTAATAGTAGCTTGCTTCTGTTCCTGAAATGTTAAAGTGATACATAAGAAAGTTCCCATGTTAAATTTTGTAATTTATTCACTGTCTTTTCTTTTAAAAGAGCAAAAAAATATTATTGGTTCCAACACCGCGACTGAGAACGGGGTTGTTTAATAAGATCACTCCACCCCCTGGGGCAACTAAAGACATCTTGAGAAAATGTGCCACCTCTCAGGTGAGTTTGAGAAGCAGCGCCAGCCACAGGGAAGAACCACTCTCAGCCGTGCCCTCCAGTGAGGTAGAACAGTGTGACTCTGCCACAGGGTTGAAGTCTGGTTTAGCAAAACCAAACCAAGAGTGGTGTGAGGTATTCAGCAATCTTGTCATTACAGGAGCCCAGCAGAAAAGCTGCCAAGCACTTGGTTTTTCTTTTGCACCAAGGTGACAAAGAGTAAATTCCCAGAAGAGAGAAGGAAAAGCGAATTCTCTGGTACTCTGGCGCCCTCTAGAGTGACCTTTTGATGCTGTTCAGTGTCCTAGAGCATTTTCTCAGATGCCACCAGAAATGGTAGAATTTCCAAAATATGTTCAGTTGGAAATTGTCTCACCAAGTACTGAAGCAATAAAGGCTTTAGTAATTTAGCAATATGTTTTCTTTTAACTTCCCCCTAATGCCATGAAACCAGTATACTGTAAACATTACATTAGGGTGCCTTATAATGAAATTTGTCTGGTATTTTATAGACAAAGAAATAGAATTTGGTGACTTTTTTCAGAGTTCTAGAGTTGACCCCAGGTCATTTGATTCCTAATCTGGTGGAAAGGAGAAATGGAACATTAAGAAATACCTTTCTAAAAGGGATTTTCCACTTAAGTCTAGTGTATGACAAGTGAATGCTTTATTGTCATTTATTGATAACCTGTCTTATTGAAAAACAGAATTTGGCATGACATACAAAAATACATACAATAAAGGAAGATAACAAAACATGTGGGGAAAAAAATAAAGGGATAACAAATGTGAGAATATAAGAGATGACCCTGGTTCTGGTCAGTGTTCAAAGTGCCCACCACATGCTCCCCTGCAGTTGGTGGACGTGGCCACAGACCTGAGCCCACACTTCTGAGGGCCGGCAGGGAATCTTGTTAGTTATAATCATGGGTTCTGGACAGTAAGAGCAGCCCTTTTCCTCATACTGAAATCCAGGTCAGATGTGGCTGTGTCTCCCTTCACGGCATCCCCCTCCCCTTTGAAAGGTGACCGACACTCGGCTCATTCCCAGGAGGCTCTGTGATGCGCCAGCACTGGCCGGTCTCTCACGGGCACTCCTGAAAATATGGCCCGGCCAGAGTAAAGCCAGGCTGGCTCCCATGACTGAGCTTGAGTGCAAATTGGACAATGTTTGGGCTCTTTTATATCATGAGATACTGGCTAGAAATCAGAGATCCAGGGTCATGAACCTCAAAGAGAGTGTTGTTTTCTCTGTGGTAGAGGAAAATGGCAAATAGAGAGTCATAAAGACACGTCTAATGCAGATGCAGATTTAATACGATTATTATTTAGGTGGCCAAAGCTTAGTGGTGAAATGCTGCCACCGTGTATATCACTTTAGGAGACTGTGATGTCGCCTCACTTCATGGCAGGCAGGTCTCTGAGTTTGTGCCTCAGCTTCCTGCCACTGTCATGCCCCAGCCACCTGTGTCTGCCCTCATTGTCTCTGCATTTACTCTTTGACTCAGGAGTGTTCTGGGAACCACTCCAGGGGGAAGGCAGAAGTGTCTGTTAACTGCCTAAGTCCCTCTGCCCCCCCAGTGACTCTTGGTTAAATAGAACAGGACTTTGGAGTGTCAGGAAGACTCCTGGTTGCTTGTGCTCTGTCTGATCCTACTGAGCAGGTGAGGCTGACCACTGAGAGAAGGGGGGCCTGACAGACGGGTTAAAGCACAGAAAACCTGATGCCGGTGTCTGCTCCCCAAGGCTGCCAGGCGCTGAGCCCCCTGAAACAGGCTTGAAGATGCCAGCCATGGGCGTGGGTGTGGTGCCTGGGTGTGGTGAGCTTAAGGAAAGACAGGCTTTCCCCCAGTGGGGGCACCTGGGGCCAATGACTGTGGTTTGACTGTTGGGAGGCCCCAAGCTAATCATAGTACTGGTCCTTGGACCAGTCACTTGTCGTGGACTTGTCGTTTGCCTGGTGACCACTCCTGCAGTGTACTGGGCCACGCAGTGTCTGACTCTAGTTCCCTAGATTTCTCCCGTGCCTGTAATCAGAGGCATGGCCGCAGCGGCCTCCCTGTGCCCCCACTCAGGCCTCGTTAGGATAACTGGGTGTGCTTTGGGTGGTCTTTGGTTGAATAATTGGTTGTTCATGCAGAGAGGCCTCCAGTGTTCACGGTGAACTAAAATGTCCCACATGCTTAATGGCCATGTCTTACATGCTGGATGCTTTGCCTGCGCTCTGTCGTCTCATTCCAGTGTGCAGGGTGAGGCAGGACTGTTGTCCCTGTGTCACAGAGCAAGAGACTGATGTTCAGAGAGCTTCCTCTGCTGAGGCCGCAGAGGAGGGGTCTGGACCTGTTTCTGTGACTCCCGACCCTGGGTTCTAATCACTGCGCCCTCCTGCCTCCTGGGGGAAAATGATTTGCTGAATATTATGAAATGAATATCCTATTCGTTTTGCTGTCAGTTCCCCCTGGTGAAGGATTGTGGGAACTGCCTTAAAATGGTTCTGATCCATGGTTTCCTGAGCTACTGCTTCCGCGGTACTGCGTCATTTGCTGTGGGGCGGCCCACTTGCTTCCCGCTGGAGGTTGAGACCCTGAGCGCGCATCTCTGTGGGTTTTGAGGTAGGCGGGAGCTCTCAGGCTGCGTGTCTGTTCACAGGGTGTGAGGAACTACAGCACTCCCGTGGGCTTGGACTCCAAGGTCCTTGTGGACTTAGTTGTGGTGGGGTCCGTGGCTGTTTCTGAAAAAGGTAAGATTAAGAACAGAAACTCTGAGATGTGACCAGTGACTCTGCAGCCTGCTGTTCCCCCAGCGCTCCGGTTGCCTTAGAGATGTTGACAGTGAGTAATTTCAGCTTTCTGGATGCATGCCTGGCCTTGAAACCACTGCATCTATCACTCATGTTGAAGAATTAACTCAGTCCCTCCCACTCTTATCCCCACTCAACACCTTTACAGCATTTCCACTTTTTCTTAACAGGATGAATGACATGAGGTCATCTCTCTTCAGGTGGTGAAAGATTTCCTCTCTGTTCTTCAGTTAACTGGAACTGGAGCTGGATTTATTTGCAGTGCATCAGTAAATAGTTGGTGTTGGAGAACCTCCAGTAAATGGAGAAACACTGGGTTCTGAACCTCTTTTTTCTTGTGCAGCAATAGCCTCGTGGTCAGTGTGGGGTGTCCTGAGCCTGCCTGGGGGCCTGAGGCTTCTCCCTGCAAGCCTGTGAACCAGGACAGCATGGGTCACCCCGCCAGTCTGTGTGCTGGGCTGAGCCGCTCTCGGACTCGTCCCTGGGGTTCCCTGGGGCCTCTTCCCCGCTGCCCTGCCCACTCCAGGCTCGGCTTGGTGCTGTCTGGGAACAAGCTCCTGCTTCTGGAGTGGGGTCAGCACATTGCAGACTTGAACCTGTGTGTACCATTGGGGCCCCTGCCACCAGGAAAGCCATCTCTTTCTTCTTTTCCCGCCAAGAGAATGTCCAGAGATGCTCATCCCCAAATCTCTTTGGAAGTTAATCAGCCAAAGCCTCTTCCTTTAGTAGGTTCCCAGTAAATTGTTGGTGATTCCCAGTAAATCATTGGTAAGAAGTGCTCTAAGTCTTTCGTTCCCAGGCCTGAGCATTGTGTTTTTCAGTGTCAGCCTTTGATATTATCACCCTAAATTTACTCTCTTCCCTGCTCCTGCTCTGAGCTACTGTGTGAGATGCTTAGGAGTGGATGTTACAATTGTGGGTTCCTTGTTCCATGTGTTCCTGTTACAGACGCTTTGCCTATGTCCTCAGGGTACCCTCTGCGTGCAGACACACAGAGGGTGTAGTGTAGTCTTGTCCTGTGGTCTAGGGGAGCCTTTGAGGACTCTCTGTGGGATGACTTCTTGGAGAGGAATTACCGGACCAATGGGTTTTTAAATCCTTATGTCGCCAAGTTACACTGCAGCAGGGGTGCCCACCTCACATCCTCGCACACCATCTGCCTTGCCTCTCTCCCTCTTCCCCTGTTGATAACTAGGATTATCCCACCTCACTTTTTGTATCTGATAGTGAGCAATGGTATTTGAGTTGCCTCTTGATTTATATCTGCTTTGGGTGAGCTTGAATGTTTCTCCTGTGAACACTGTCACCTGTCTCTCTGGTCTGTTCGTACCCTTTGCTGCTTTGCTATTGAACTGTTTTTCACTTCTTTGCATGTATGATTGAAGACTTCTCATTGTAAAAGTAGCACAGTCAGGTCTGACTCTTAGAAGGATGCCTGAGTGATGGTGCTTCCGCGCTCGGTGATGGTGCTTCCGCGCTCGGTAATGGTGCTGACGTCACGGAGAAGTCAAAACTCCTGGCTGGCCTGGGCGTCCTACTGAGAGGAGTGACTGGACTTGGCTGGGAGCTCGAGGCACGCTCACGTCCACTGTCCTGAGTCCTTTCCCCCTGCTTATTTTGTCCTTGAGCTTCAGATAACAGATCCTTATCTTGTGCCACGTTTGTGAATTTGCAACATAGCCCTGCTTAAACCACCTCCTTCCAAGTTGTGGGGCTGTGATCTTAGTTCCCTGACTAGGGCCTGAACTGGTGCCCCCCGCAGTGGATGCACAGAGTCCTAAGCACTGGACCACAGGGAGGTCCCTCCTTAGTGCCTTACAGGCAGGGCTGAGCCAACTCACATCCGGGTCCCTGATGCAGACTTCCCGCTTTCCCTGCACAATGACAAAGATTTGCCTTTAGTAAGAACTTGTTTTTAGTGATTTAAAAACTACTCTTTCACCCCTTTTAAATGTGAATCTGTTAACATAAAGCTAATGTAAGTGCTAGCTCCACTTCCTTTTTAAAGGTGCACAGGGTGCCAAGTTCCTTGACTGTGTGTTAACCGTGGTACCCGTCCCGCGTGGTGCTTCCCCTTGAACTCCTCCAAGTCCACAATGAGAAATGTGCTCCTGCCTAATTCCCCAGAACCCACACGTGCTGCTTCTCTGCATTGCCTCTTAGGCTGGAGAATTGGGAAAGGAGAAGGCTATGCTGACCTTGAATACGCCATGATGGTGTCGATGGGAGCAGTCAGCCAGGGGACGCCAGTGGTCACCATCGTCCATGACTGCCAGGTGCTTCCTGGGAACAGGCCAAGCAGAGCCACCACTGGGCATTGGAGTGCCGGGGCCGGGGCAGGGCAGCTGGGTCTCTGCCTTTACTCTGCGCCACGTTGGGTGTGGCTTGGCTGGGCCAGATGCACTTGGTGGCACAGCAGCTCAGCCTTGAGCAGGACAGGTTTGGGGGACATCGTCCTTCCATCAAGCGGTGCGGTGAACGCGGCCGGGGCTGTATCCCCACTAGCTCCCTCACCTGCTTCTGTTCGACCAGGTTGTCGACATACCTGAAGCACTCCTCGAGGACCACGACCTCACTGTGGACTATATCCTTACTCCAACTCGAGTCATCATCACAGGGTGTGAGCGCCCCAAGCCAGCGGGAATCGCATGGTCCAAGGTGGGTCACCGTGACGTGGAGCGAGGCCAGTGCTGGCTCGTGGCTCACAGACACTTCCTCTCTCCCTGTGTTGTCTGTCTGTCAGGACTGCTGTCCCTAGGCCTGCGTGGCTGTGTGTTAGAACATACCTGGAGAACATACTTAAGAAGCCCACCAGTTCCTACAAGCAGGCAGGATTCAAGGTCTGCACATGACACCAGCGGTAGTGGCAGGGGGTGACCAGCTCCACCAGGAGAGCTGATGCATTGAATCTACTTTCCAGGTTTTCATCTCTAAGAGCTGTCTTCTGCCATCCCAGCCACACATGGTCCTAATCATCAGGCTTTCCTTTTGTAAGCCCAGATTTTCTCAGTCCATCTGCATCTCCGTGCAGAACTGAATAGGGTAGGAGGCAGTACCCACAGCTTCATATGTTGATGCCATGGTGACTTTATCTCCAGAGTAGGCAGTAGCATGTATCACAGACTGGTCTGCAATAGAAGTTTGACCCCAGAAGCCAACCTCTAGGTATGATGCTGTCTGCTGGAAGATAGCCAGAGTTACTGAGAAAGCTGGAGAAGTTGTGCTCCAATTGGATTGAAACTCTTGGTCAAATTAGCACGTTTGTCCATGTTTCACATCCCTTACACTTGAGTCATCCAGGGCTGGAAGGCTGCTTTCCTCTGGGCATGGGAATCAGCAGTGTCCACCGCCAAGGGTGGCCCAGAGGGGACATCCTGTGCTCTCACCCCGCCGAGGGCCTCCCTGCAGAACACCTGCGCTCCTGCTCGACTCGCCCTGGTGAGAGCAGGGAGAAGGTGCAGCATCCTTCGTGACTGTTGAAACATTGCCCAGGGTGTTTAGAACTTAGGGTTCCTTGGGATCCGGGCCCACAGGCTCCCTTTAGATGAGTGGTGGCTGAGACAGTGGCCGTGGGAGCGAGGTGGCTGTGCTCAGAGCTGAGCGTGTGGTCTGGGAGGATGCGCCCACGGGGCTGCTGTTCATAGCTGAGGGCCAGCTGCAGTGTGGGGAGGGCGAGTTCTGGGGGCCTCGCCAGGGAGAGGAGATGGTTGCCTCGGAGAATACCCATAATTTAGTAAGAAACATATGAAAACAGGAACAAGTTAGGTTATCTGTTGTGTTAGATGAACATAATCCCTCTTAGATGAGAGAGAAACAGTCCAGCCACAGTTTCCCGAGACCCCCTCAGGCATACCGATCCCTGCTTGCCGGGACCTGGGCTTACTCACCGTCTTCCTGGGGGGTGCTAGTCGTCACTGAGGCTGTGGTGAGAACCCCTCACCATGGGTCCTGAGTTCTTAGTTCTGCCACCAGCTGGTCGTCCCTCTGTGTGGGTGGGTCCTGTGAAGGTGGGGACTCTCTGGCCCCCGGAGTCTTGCCCTAGCCTTCAGTGTGTGTAGCCAGAGCACCTTGGGGACGGGAAGGTGGTGGGGGCAGCTCAGTGCTGCTTGTAGTGCTATTTCGGATTGGCTGCTGGGCACATAGGGGTAGATCCTGATCCTTCTGTGATGCTCCCCACATAGACTCACCTGACCCCAGTGGGGGATGGGGGTGAGGTTAGAGCCATTGTCCTCTTGGGTTGGCAGCAGATGCCTCAAGAGTGAGATTTCTGATTGTGTTGGGCTTAGTGTGCATTTCTAGGGGAGAGGTTTTAAACTTAATCTCTAAAGGGAACATGCATTAATAAATGACCACCATCTGCATGCTTCAGCAAGAAGTGATTGGGGCATACAAAAAAAAAAGAAAACAGTTTTGCTTTATACCAGCTTTTTAAATGGAATGATTTGTTATAGAAGGCATAATTTCTTTTTCCTGTTTGATTAACAAGCACAATCTTTTATTTCACATGGAAAATTGACAAAAAACTAACAAATGTTCCTAATTGCCAGCCGGGAAAAACAGCACCCCCGCGGGTCCCTATGTGGGAATCCAGCCTGTCTGCTGGGCTCTCAGAGGCCATCCGCTCTGGGCCTCCATCAGCCCACATGTGCCGTTCCGCAAGGAGCACAGTGTGGGCAGAGGCCTCCGCATCAGGCTTTCCCTTTAGAACGCGTGGGGCGTGGGGCGTGGGGCGTGGGGCGGCAGAGAGGGCACTAACGCTGAGCTTTGCTGTCCTAAAGAACACAGTGCTCTCAAAATAAGCAGTTTTACGTAAAAGCCTCGCATTTCTGCACTTCCGTTCCCAAGAGCCCTTAGTGTGTGCCAGCATCGCGATGTGGACTCGGTCGGTTTGTGGTGTGCTGGAGGGCATTCCTTGTCCTGCCGCTGATTGCAGTCTGTCCGAGTGCCCGCTCGGGTCAGGGAGTTCCGGGGACGTGCACAGAAGGATGCGTGTGTGCTTCCACACGTTCTAGGATGGGTATCTGCTGCGTGAGTGTGGAGCCTTGCCCCACGGGGCCAGGCTTCTTGAGAACGTGCATGTCTACCTGAGGCAGCCCTGTGGATCCACTGGGCAAAAATCACGGGAGTTTCAGCACTAAGGGGCAGTCTTCCGGCGGAGACGGCCCCACAGCGGGCTCAGTGGATGCACGGCGTTTACCAGGAGGTGTGGCCTTGGTGGCTCCCACTGCTGGTGCGGGGCCTGGGGCAACGTTTTGTTCTTCCATACAAGGACATAGACACACTTTTCATCTGACTGTGATTACTGGTTTAAACTTGATCATCCTTTCTAAATGATCCAGTAACTTAAGAAATCCTTAAGACTCTAAATATGAGCAGTTTAAATTTGCTGCTAAACACTTCGAAAGAATGCAAGAATTTGAACTCCTTAAGAAGGCAGACCAGGGATGTGGGAGGGAGTGAGTTGGCCAGACTCAGGATGTCTTTGGGATTCTTTGGGACCCAGAGCCTCTAGTGGAGGAAAATGCCCTTTGATCAGGAAGCAAGCCCCATCTTATGGGTGTCTTCATGGCATAGACATGGTTTTTGTTTTCTTTTTGCATCTCAGCAGTGGGGCTTCCCTGATAGCTCAGTTGGTAAAGAATCCGCCCACAATGCAGGAGACCCCAGTTCGATTCCTGGGTCAGGAAGATCCACTGGAGAAGGGATAGTTTACCCACTCCAATATTCTTGGGCTTCCCTGTGGCTCAACTGGTAAAGAATCCACCTGTTTTGTGGAAGACCTGGATTTGATCCCTGGGTTGGTAAGATCCCCTGGAGAAGGGAAAGGCTACTCACTCCAGTATTCTGGCCTGGAGAATTCCAAGGACTGTATAGTCCACGGGGTCCCAAAGAGTTGGACACAGCTAAGCAGCTTTCACTTCACTTCACTTCAATGGGAAATGTGAGGAGGAGGGAGTTTTTCTCTGTGCTCTGTTCTGAAGACTCGCCTGGTTCCTGACTCAGCTGTGCCAGCGACAAGGACAGCGTCTGGCTGGGGAGGCGCTAACCCCCCGGGAGGCTCTGCTGCGGTGGAGTCACCTACCTGCATAGCAGTGGGAGTGGGAGCCAGTGGGGGATAGAAGCCTCTAGGTCTCTGGGAGGGCATTTGACATGCTTGGGTATTCTCGTTTCTTCTCACTCTTACTCTAATCCATTGATTCTCAACCTGGGACCTGTGTGCCTCTTGCAGTTTGGAGGTCCATGCACAGGTATTGGGATACTGTACACAGCTGTAGGGGATTCTTTTGTGGGAGGGAACCTCAGCTTCTCTCCAGGGTCTCTGGCACCCTGCCAAGGATAAGAACCATTGCCCTAAGTCACATGTGATTCTGAATATACTGAGAACTCTGATACTATTTGAACTATTTATTTTTGTAGAAAAGTTAGACCTGTTCATCTTGTGTGCTGATGCGTGATGAGGTACTCATGTCTGTTGGAAGACTGCATTTGAACCATTGCTTGCCTCTTGGTGACTGAATTTTTTTTTTTTTTTTTTGCGGGATCTTAGTTCCCTGACCAGGAATTGACCCTACACCCTCAGCAATGAAAGCGAGGAGTCCTAACTACAGAAGCACCAGGGAATTCCCTTGGTGACTGATTGTTTACGTGCTCTGTGCCCACAGAAGCCAGAATGCACCTCTAAAGAATGGTTTGTCAAAAAGACTGAGTAAATCTTTCTGTTCCTTCTCTGCCGTGTGGTTCCTTAAGACCCATGAGACCAGTTTTGCCCCTGCTCAGCCCCCAGTGCTCCCAGCACACAGCACAGGGCCTCCGCCTCGAGTATTGGGGCTCTTCTGTCACCTCCGTTGCTACAAGTGTTCTTTGATCAACTTAGTCAAAAAGCCGAAAGTGTCCTTTGTATGAAAGTCCTACTGGCTGAGATATAACATTGTGTGTGCAATCCGTTGTTTTGTATCCTGATGACCCATTGCTAGAAAGTGTTCTCAGTGTAGCGTTCTGTTCCACATTTGCCTTGATTGTGCTTTTTCAATGATGCCTAGATGGGTTTGGCCCTTAGGAGGAGGAGGAGATCCCCACAGCCCCATTAAAGACCTCACCCCACCCAAGGTGTAGGTCAGGGGAGGGGACAGATATGGAGGTAGAAAGTGCCCTGTAATCCTGTGGCATTGCCAGGGCAGTTGCCATTTACAACCCTGTAACCCTCATACCAGTGATCTTAGCTCCACTTTTGCGTAGGACGCCTCATTGTCTGCCTTCTGGGCCCCCAGGAAAATGGAGAAAGCCATCCAGCTCCTACCAGGTGCCGTGTCCTGTTGGGCAGACGCAGAGTGGCAGAGGGAGACGGCTGGCCTGAGGGTGCTGTCTTCTGTGAGCACGTGTGGCAGAGGCCCCTGCATGACTGATGCTTCTTCCCTGTGACCGAGCTGTGGTCCCTCCTGGATGCCCCGAGAATAGCTGGAACTGCTTTGCTCTTTCAGATCAGCTATGAGATGATGGAGAAGATACCTATCCTCAGAAGCCTGCGCCACCGAGAGGAGCAGGCTGGGAAGGACGTCACCCTCCGGGATGGGCCCCGGAGCCCTCCAGGCGCCCAGGCCGCCCCCAGCACCGCCAGAAGCCCTCGGGACCCGGCCCCACCAGAATCGGGCTCCGTGCCTTCCAGCTCTGTTGAGATTGGGAACCTCCCCCAGGATGTCAGGGTGAGCCAGCTAAAGCGGGCCCTCAGTGCACTGGGCGTGGTGCCCTCACGGCTCACCTGGCAGGGGCCACGGCACAGGGCCTTCCTTCACTACCGGGACCCGGCTGAGGCCCAGCAGGCCATCGTCTGCCTGCAGGGCTTCCGCCTGGGCGCCAGCACAGTGAGGGTGGTGCTGGCCAGGCAGCAGAGGGCCGGTGACCTTGGGGGCGGCCACACCGCAGAGCCACTCCCTGACCATCGACCGGCCGTTGCTGGCCCATGACGACGTCCTGCTATGATCCCCAGCGCACTTCCGCCCAGCACAGTGGGGCGTGGTGGAGCTGTTGCTGCCTGAGCTGCTGTTGAGTTTGGTCCTTTCTGGGAAGTCAGAGCTCCAGTTGCTGCCCAGTGTCTCCTGGGGGCAGGAAGTCAGCCTGTGAGGCACTTGGAGTCTCTTGGGAGGCAGGAAGTTCATATTCAGGCTTCTGCGCATCCTGGTCCTTCAGCCTGTGGAATGTAACAGCCCTGCTGGTTTCTTGGTTGAGGGGACTGAGTGGGCAATAAATGAGCAGGAGTAAATTCTGACAGCAGTCTAGGGGGTCTGTGTTCTGAACTTGAGAGGCATGGGGGATTAAGAGGAGGTGGATGGAAGAGTCTGCCAGGAGAGCCCTTGGCAGGGACCAGCGCAGAGGCACAGCAGGGTGGAACCAGAAGTAACCCTTGTGTTCCTAGCTTCTTGGCCTCGCACTGCTGGAGGGGAAAAGGTGCGGTCAACCCAAAGAAGCAGGGGGTTCAGTCCAGGTGCCGGGGCACAGTCTGCGCGTCTCATCTCAGCCCTGGTGCTCAAGGTGGCGGCCAGTCCGGCGGGGCCCCTTGGCCCTGTGGTCTCACCTCTGTCCCCTCCTCACCATCGCAGCCGGGCTCCTCCCTCTGGGTGAACAACCCCCCGCCCACCCCTGCTGTCGGCCAGCTGCCCCCACACAGCAGGAAGCTCTGCCTCTAGGAGATCCTGGCTTTGAAAAGTGAGTGGTCCCAGCCTGTGTCACAGATGAGGCCAAACAGATGCTCTCACACTCATTTGCCCACTGCTGTGTGTTCTGTGCATCTTTCCCTCCATTTCTCTGTTCCTAAAAATCAAGCTGGACTTTGGCTGAACTGTGCTTTGTAAACAGAAGCGCTTTTGCAGTTGATCCTGGGTGAAAAGTCAAGATAAGCATTTAAGTGGAGATTTTTTTTTTTTCCAAATGTATATTCATTGGAAGTGTTTATTTTTTCACCAGAAGGTCTCACTGAGCATGGTTTGAACCCATCATTAAGCCTCAAGGGGGCAGGCCTTGCCCGCACTTTGAAGAAAATGTTCTCAAGGCATTGAGTCTCTCTTTGAAAAAGCATTTTCTCATTGGTGGAGACTTTGGGAAGAGAATTGACCCTTAGATTTGCTCGTTAAATGCCGCCTCTTTCCACATTTTCATGGACAAGATCAGGGAGTAGAATATCTTAATGCAGGCCAGGCTGTCAATCGTCTGGGCTCACCTTTCTCTGCCTGACCCTACGCCCCTGTCCCTCAGCTGGTTTCATTGGGTCACTTGTGTTCAGCTTGGCCATTCTAGACCAGCTGACCGCCCAATCCAGAGTAGTGGCCTGGTATCTGAACTCCTCACTCCCCTTGAGTTTCCCCCTTTTCCCAGAACACCTCTTGTGTTTGACATGCTCAGTTTTTGTTGATGTTTTTATTGTTGGTTTGCCACCATTGGAGCAGCGCCCTGGGGGGATAGGAAGTGAGCCTGTCCCTGCCTATACTCTCTGCCACCCATCCCCTGGCCTTGAGAACCGCCTACTGATACGTGTGCAGAAATGAAAGGACCCATCAGTCAGAGCCGAGGGGCAGGCTGTGTCCATGTCTCACTCCTGGGGTCGGGTGTCTGGTGAGCCTGGAGCCAGCTCCTCAGACTGCTGATCTTTGCATGTCAGGAATGACCCCTGTGGGCTGGGCCAGGTTGCTGGGCTTCCTGTCACTTTTAGCCAGAAGAACCCAGGTGTGTTGATACACAGATAATGTATTCATCGTCTTCATATCTGAGACAGTAGGTTAGTAGGTGGGAGACAGGACCAGGGCCCTGAAATAGCAGCCTCCCAGATGTATCATGTGCGTGCCTCCCCTCCATCCGCCTCAGGCAGCCCTGGATCAGAGTTCTCAGCCCTGCCAGGAGGGGCATCAGGGACCCAGTTTTTGTTACCAGGGTTCTTGAGTATTTGTCAGCGTCATTATTGTGTAATTCATGTAATAAGAGAATAATGGAAAATGAACACTTGACAAGTTGCTGAGACTGCATGAACCTTTTTAAGTGGCTCTGCCGTGACTCCTGGGTCCCATCCTGTTTCCTGAGCAGCGGTGCGGCTCTGCCTACGATGCGAGGAGACTCGACCACGCCCGGAGCAGCACCCCTCCAGAAACCCAGCCTCAGCTCTGCATGGGGGCCAGGTCCTGGGGCTGTGCCGTCTCCGCTCTCAGTTCCTATGATGTGGCCGCGTCGTGGAGCCTCTCTGGGCATTTGTGTCCTTGGCTTTATAGCAAGAGGGTCAAGTGTGTTGTTTCTAAGGCCCGGCCAGTTCTAACATTCTGTTTCTTTTGAGGTTCACAGCTCGCCATCACTTAGATTTTTCCATTCTAGAAGTCTGGGGCTGTCAGAAGTATTGTACAAAGGGTGTCATTCCTCACCCCACCACATAAGCAGCCTTGACACTGCCTCTTATTTATCTCTTTCCTCTGCACAGTATTGAAACACAGCTAGCATTAACACGTGTGCTTCAGAACTACACAGATTCGGCCAAGAGCATCCATGTTACCGCTGCCAGGTACCTCCTCTCTGAGCTTCCACGGGCTCAGCTGTGAATGGACATAGTGATGGGATCGCCTCTAGATTTGTTGTTTTGAAGGGTGAACAAAGCAGCTTGGATTTCTAAATCGTTCAGTCACTAAGTCGTGTCCAACTCTTTGCGATCCCATGGACTGCAGCACACCAGGCTTCCCTGCCCTTCACTGTCTCCTGGATGTTTGCTCAAATTCATGTGCATTATGTCGGTTATGCTAAATCATACCACGTGTAAAAATAAATTCCAGGCTAATTAAATATCTGAACATAAAAATAAATGTAAAGGAATTTGGAGATAATAGAAAAGAATGTTTTCTAATGTTGGGTTAGGAAGGGATGGACAAGACCTTGAATTTAAGGGAGAGTTTATTCCTTCATCCCCCTTGGAATCCATACGAGCCCTCCAGGATGAGCTGTCTTCTGGGCGCTTCTCCAGGCTAACCCCTTGTGTTTTCTGCATCGTGATTTCTATATGTTTTCTCTAAAATTTGTCACTATGCATGGACAGTTTTATTTAGTATTACTTGCACATTTTTGGAGTGTTACAGCATGTGTCTCCTGTGTCTAAAACTGGCTTCTGGGCTGCTCAGGGTAGCGCTTAGTGGCCCCTCAGTACGTGCAGGTGAGCGTGGCCATCCTATTTCTTGGAGTCTGGCCCTCAGCGCAGACAAGTACATGTGTCCCATGTTCTCTGTGGGCCCAGGCCCCAGCACACGCTGTCTCAGCTGTGGAGCAGCGCACAGCGTTCTACCCGTTTCCGCACATGAGAAGAGTAGGGCCACTTGGGCGCAGTGGTCTCCCCACCTGGCCCCACAGCCAGTTCTGGCAATGCTGAGCCTCATACAGATGCTCACCTCAGGTCTCTGCCCACTTCTGCCCCTGTCTCACACCTGGGTCGTCTGGACTGGGGGCTCCCCGAGGCCAGGACTGCACATCCCAGCGGACAAGAGCTCCACCTTTTGAGAGTGCCTTACCTGCACTAGCAGATGGGCGACTTACAGATGAAACAGGGCTCTCAGAAGGCGTGACCGGCTTGTTCAAAGCTCCAGACCCAGGCAGAGGTGAAGTGGTCATTTGGACCCCAGCCTCTGCCCCTAGAACCCTGCCAGCTTCCTGAATTATGGGTTGGCCGTCCACACCTGCTGATTCCTCACCATCCCTGGGTTCAGCCAACTGAGAATTTTGACTACAGGAGGCATTACCCATCGATATAGAAGGCCGACTGTATGACACAGTTTTATACAACAGACTTGTGCGTCAATGGGTTTTGGTGTCTACAGCAGCTCCTGGAAACAGTCACACAGATACCAAGGGATGACTGTACCTTACCTCCAGCAAAGGAGCCAAGATGACACTGTTCACACCACACCCTCCCCAACCCAGCCCCCAGCCCCTGAACTGCCAGGAAGTGGGGGAGCCAACCCCCCTAGACTCTGAGGGGAGGGATCCTGCCACAACTGTAGGTTGGCCCTGCTGTCGTCCTTCAGCCATCATTTGGCCGCCCTGGTTCCCCTCCAGTGACACACACAGACTGCCCTCAGGTGCCGCCGAGGAGGAAAGAAACATGATGACACAGGCTGCAAGCAGGAAAGGCTGAGCATCAGCTCCCCAGGAAAAGAGAGCCCGTGTGGCTGAAACTGAACAGCTGACATTTGGTGAAGAGGGATATTGGTGCGAAGATAAAATGTCAGAGGCGAGCAACGTTTAGAAAACCATAATCAGGTCCAGGGGATAGTAAAAATGGGGCAAATACAGCTCCCCGTTCACACCCACACCCACCGCAGACATCAGTCATAGATCCCAGCACTCCTGCTGGCCAAGCTTGAGAAAGCTGCGCTGGGTTTTAAGGAACCAGGGCCAGATATGAGATACCAGTATGAGATAATGGAGCTTTCCGTATTTCGGCCAAAGGAGCAAAACAGGGTCCTCCCCTGCACCTCTTCTTTTTATTCCTCGGGAGCATGGCCACACATTGCCATCTGCCCTCCCCCACAGGCTCCTGCTCTGGCAAGCCACTCTGCTCTGGCTTGCAGAGGACGCGTCCAGACATTCAGTCCTCACCCCCCCTGCACTCAGCAGAAATAACCGAGTGGGAATTGCTACACTCCCATCCCCTGTATCTGGATCTAACCTGCCAGTGTTCCAAATACAACCGGTACTATGGACTTTCTGGTCATTTTCAAAGTGGATTTTTTGAAGGGTAGGGCTACCCTGGGGAGGTCTGTCTTCAAAATAAATCTTACACAAAACTCCATACTTGAAAGCAGGAAGAAGAGGTCAGTGTGTGGGTGAACAATCACTTTCCACAGTATGCCACAGGGGGCACTGCCTACCTGACCCCTCCCCCGTCCTGGAGCTGGAAGTGGGGTGACATCCTCTGCTGGTATCTTGTGTCTTCCCTTCTGAGAAG